GGCTCCAAGGCTCCGGCTGCTGTTCCAAGCCCCTGGCTTATCCTGCCGTGCTCGTGATGCAGTTCCCGCAGGCAGGGAGGGGAGCGTGTGAGCAGCGATGTGGGCAGGGGCTGCAGGACATCCATCCCTGCGGAGAATGAGCACAGTGCAGGCCTGGAAATCAGACACAAAGCTGGTGCCCAGCACAGCCTTTGCAGAGCAACATCCCACTGGACAGTCGGATTCCCTGATAGCTGTAGCTCTGAGGTATTACGGGAGGAAAACAAACAGATTTGAAGAAATTCAGGGACCTGAGGAAGAGAAAGGATATTCGGAGTGTGTGGAAATGGGTGCTATGTTGATGTGTGGAGTTACTTTTTCTTGTGGCTTTTCCCTTAATAAAGAGCCCTCCTCGGGGCCAGCTTCTGAAAGCAGCGGTACAGGTTTTAGCTCATCTTAGTGCTTTCCCTCATGTTAACTCAGGACTTTTCCTGTCGTGGAGTGGGTTGGCAGCATTGTGCCCATTTTAGAGATCAGGCAAACTGAGGCACCAAACTGCGACTCCCCCACAACACCCAGCAGTGGCAGAGTTTAAACCCAGCTTTCTCCTGCCCTCTCCCACGGTCTTTCCCTGGGGCTCTCAGGAAGGTAGCCACGCTCAGCCCTTTCAGAGCAGAGTATTTTCTGGCCAACCTGCTGCCTCCCTACTGTCTGTTGGAAGTCTGCGTGTTCTTCCAGAGCGAAGCCTGTGCGGGAAGCAGGCGGAAGTCATCATGCAGCCAGGGATACCAGGATTGGAGAGGTTTCCAATGGTGAGGAGCAGTAGCCTTTTCTTCTTCCTGGCCTGCACAGCTGTGGGGCTGGCCCCAGCTCCTGTGCACTTAGGGGCGGGCAGCCCTGTGTCCCTGCTTCGGGCTGGCAGGTTCTGGTCCTCTTTGAGGTAACAGACTCAGCGTCCCTCTGCCTCTCTGGGGCAAGTGTCCCCGAGGCGGGCTCTCCCGGGGGGTGGCAGAAGACCACCTTTCACCCAGCCCTGAGCCCAGACAGGTGTCTACGCTCCACACTGCGTTAGGGGCTTTGTGAGCAGCACCCAGGGCTCCTCTTCCGTTTGCAGAGATAGGAAGGAGGTCGGAGCACCTTATCTGTGCAATCCTACCTCGGGGGTGTGTGAGGTTGGTCCTCTTGGGAAGGGGGGATAGAGGCTGCAGGCAGCTTCCACCCACCGGCAGCCTTTCATCCCATGTCCCAGGGCCACAGCCACCCTGTCTCCAGCCCTGTTTACTGATGGGGCTGATACGGCCCCGGTGGGAGAGGCTGTAGGTCCCCCTAATCGCCTTGTCACCGGCCGGACAGTTTCAGCCACTCGGAGGATGTTTTGACTGCGCCGAATTGCGATGTTTGTTGTTTCTCACTCCCAATGATTGACATTTGATAGCGGCTACTGGAAAACCTGCCGAGGGGAGCCCGCTCGCTGCCCCCGGGCAGTTCGGGGGGTCCTTTGCCCCTCT